ATAGAGAGGCAGCGATGGGCTTTAAAAGCTAGGCGGTACAATCAAGGTGAACCAAGGTTAGAAGTAGAGAAACACAGGGTTTGTGTGGATACAGTAGGCAATTCAGTTTCAAAAGAAGGTAGGTCTGGCAGGAATTACTGGTATCAGATCACAGAAGCCTTTACTATATTCTGTTTTTGGATGTCATTGTGGGTTGAAAGAAACCATTTAGGGATTTCCATAGGAAACATTTATAATGAGTTAGTAATAGAACATATCATCCTATCTAATAATAGACAAACAGGGTAATTGACTGTACCTTCGCTACGCCTCCCATTGGCTAATCAGCACGATATGCAAATTAACCGCCAACAAAGATGGTGGTTAATTTGCATATGTAGGCTCCAAGAGGCGGAGCGAAGACTGAAGGTGAGCCGGAACCGCGAAGAAGGAGGACGGAAGGCGGCTCCGGCCGGAGCGAAGGCCTGGGTCCCGGGTGCCAGAGGAAAACCAGTGCCTGCAGCCAGGAGAAGGGAAGGCCTATTGCACGACTCTCTTCGTGCAACAGGCCTCTAGTAGTTGATATCCACACATAGATATTAACAAGCAGTCAGAAACACAGGATGAAAATGTATAAGGATCAGGGATTAAAAAAGGGTTGGGAGTTAGCTCTATAGCAGTTATGCTGAAGTGATATAAAGAAGAGTAAAAATAGCCTAATAAGCACTGAGTGCTTCTGGTTCATCTGTGTTTATAGATTAGGTAGGAAAAGGAGCCAGAAAAGGGTATGTGAAGGAACGCCTGAGGTAATGCCAAAATCTTTAAAATTTGGAAAAGGTGGTCTTCAGTGCTTAATGTAAAGAACCACAAGTGAAACTGGTCATTGGTGATCTTTGGCCTAATGGTTTTATTGAGAGTGCATGCAAAAAGCCTGCCAGTGTCAAGTATTCCAAGGGAAAGGGGAGACTAGTTGATCCAGCTCCTTGAGGAGCTAGGGATTGAGAACAGCGATCACTCTAGGAGGGAAAGACATTTGAAGATGTTATGTTTTAGAGAGAAGTGGGATTGATAAGATAGTCAATGACCAAAACATGTGTCTTAGACCTTGAAAATTACATTTTATTTGTGATAGTGACAATTGAATAGTTTGTGGCATTGATTGAAATGTGTAATTCCTGGAAATAAATATTCTTTTTTGTTACTACTGTTAAGCCTCACCCGAGGATATTTTTCTATTGACTTTTTTAGAGAGTGGAAGGGAGGAGAAGAGATACAAGAGAGAAACATTGATGTGAGAGAGACACATTGATTGGTTGCCTCTTGCACATGCCCTGACCAGGGCCTGGGACTGAACTTGCAGCCAAGGTACATGTCCTTGACCAGAATTGAGCCTGGGACCCTCAGTCTGCAGGATGATGCTCTATATATTGAGCCAAACTGACTAGGGCTATATTCTTAATTATGTATTTCCATATAACCAATAGTACATGTGTTTTATTAACATAATTATCCTATTCTTGACCTTCTGAAAATAAAACCTCAGATTCCTGTATTTTTCTCTGAAGCTGTATCAAACTATTTGATGACAATTTATTCATGTGTTCTTGTCATCTAGCTTGATCCAAGGATTATTCGACCATTTATAGTAGAATGCCGTCAAACTATTGCCAAACTTGATAATCAGAATATGAAAGCCATTAAAGGACTCGAAGATCGGCTGTATGCCCTGGATCAGATGATTGCTAGCTGTGGCCGACTGGTGAATGAGCAGAAAGAACTTGCTCAGGTGCTTATTTCAAACTTCTCTCAGGAAAAGGAATTTGTAACTTTTTTATGAAGTTATTTTATGTGCAATACCAATTTGGTATGCACCATATTTTCACTTCACCCTTGAATATTGTGAGTGCAGTATTATTGTTTCCATGTAATAAATCATGTTCTTAATATTTTGGTTTGATAAAATAAATTGAGCTTAGACTATATTAGATGACAACTGAAAGATAAGCAATGAAAGTGCTGTGAGCAGCTGAAAAAAAGGTGTTGAGAGAACATACCAAGCAGTCATTGCACTAAATATGTGAATACTTTCTGCTCCCTTCTCAAAAATGTACACAGAAAAATGAAATTTATAAAGGACAGAAGGAAAATATAAAATCTTAAAGGATTTACTAATACTTAGGCTTTTAGGTTTAATTTAATGCAATGTCCCAAGAATTCTGTCAAATAAGGTTTATCACACACACAAAAAGGGATTAATTAACCTAGACATTTTCTTCCGTACAAGTGACCGTTTAGATCACCACAGTTTTGTCCTCGATCTACCCTGGCAGGCACTCTGGTGAAACAGTCTATAGCAAAAGAGTTGACTTTTAAACATGCTTTTCCAGTGGTGTGTGTTCTTTCATTAGAACATACGAATGAGTAATCATTTTAATGGGTACAAATGTATAATTTACTGATGGAATTTATCTTGTAATTTCTGCACCCTCTCCTTTTCTCTCGTGATTTAGGATTCAGCCACTGTGCTGTGAACTGAATTCCTTTATTTTGTCTTTTTTTGCACTGATTGGAACACCAATACAGTGCTGCAATAGTGTGAGTTCTTGTTTAATTCCTGATCTATAGAAAGTGGCCAACATTTCAAAATTTTAATGTTTATAGTAGGTTTTTCTCTCCTTGTTTCAGTAGATACCCTTTCTCAGATTATGAAAGTTACATTTAAGTTCTAATTTTTAAAAATATTTTTAATTGATTTTAGAGAGGAAGGAAGAGGGAGAGAGAGATAGAAACATCAATGATGGGGGAATCATTGCTTGGCTACCTCCTGCATGCCTCCCACTGGGAATCGAGCCTGCAACCTGGGTATGTGCCCTGACTGGGAATCGAACTGAGACCTCCTGGTTCATAGGTCAACCCTCAACCACTGAGCCACATGGATGGGCAGTTCTAATTTTGAACCATGTTCAGATTCGTGGAATTAACTGTGTCATCATAATATATTGTCTTTTTTATGTATATCTGGATTTAGAGTAACATATTGGCAAACTGAATTAAGTTGTATGTGTGTAGTTTTTATTTGTTATGTATTTGTCAGAGTTTTGGCATCAGTTATAGCTTCAAAGTAAGTTGAGAAATCTTTTAATTGGAACATTTAGTCTGCTTATTTGTTGTAAATACTGAATATTTGCCTTTAAATCAATCATTTGTAATTTTTCTTTTAATTATATGTCCTTTTTTGTCTCTGATTTTGCCTTTTGGATTATTTTTATTTTAAAATTTTATGTTTTAATTCTATTTATCATATTAGCTTTTTTCCTTTTAAATAATATTTGGTGTATAATATACATGGAAATGTCCTTTATTTCCTTTTAGTGGCAAATTCAGTTTTTGTCATGTGAAATTCTCTTTAAATCACCTTTATTTCTGAAGGATATTTTCTTGATAGCGAATTCCAGGCTGTTAGCGATTTGCTTTTAAGCACTTTACCTTTGGTTTGGTTTTCAGCAGTTTTACTATAATAGGACAAGATGTGGCTTTCTTTGTATTTCTTTGTATTTCTTTGGCTTTTCTGCACTGGGCTTGTAGTCCTACTTGAATTTGTGGCTTTCAATCACTTCAAATCTTGATTTTGTATCTCTCTCTTCTCCTACATTGATGCTAATTATACATGTATTAGACCTTTCACCTTGTCCTTCCCATTTACCCTTTTCTGTATTTTGTATGATTATATCTATCTGCATTTAGTTTGGGATATTTTCTTTTGACCTATCAGTTCAAATTTCAGATTTTTTTTCAGGTGTGAATAGCTATTAAACTTTATTGATTTGATATTCTTTGTTAATCTTAGCTCTATATTTTCAATTTAGTGTTTTTTGTTTATATAGCTTCAAATTATCTACCAAAACATCTGGTCTTATCCATTATCTCTTTGAATACATTAAGCATATACTAGTAATTAACGGCTATATCTGTTAACACCATTATCTGTGCCTGTGTGTCTATGAATATTTTCTGTTGTTTCTTACAGTTTTCTAGAGAGAATTTGTTTGCTTTTGGCATATGGTAGGGATGATTACAATCTTAGATCATCACCTTAATCCCATTTCAGAGATTTAGATGGGAAGTTGGTTTTCCAGTCCTTGTGATGGTGAGTCTAACAATTTCGTAGGATACTAGTGACCCGGTGCATGGATTCATGCACATTGAAAGGAAAATAATTAGAAGGTGGCCAGCAGGGCGGGACTAGGCGAGATGCGCCAGACACACCCTGGAGCCAACCTCCTGCTGGCATAGCTTGAAGGACATCTGTGGAGTGAGCAGGGTCCCTCCGACAGCTGGGGTCCCTTAGCCTGGCCTGCAAAGATTGGGCCGAAACCAGTTCTCTGACATCCCCCGAGGGGTTCTGGAGTGCGAGAGGGCACTCTGCAAAGTTGCTGTCGTACAGGGTGTGGAATGCAAACACAAGTGTGCAGTAAACTAGATTCGGGGCCAGTAGTGCTCCAGCAGCAACATAACCCACAGCTGAAGGTGGAATCGTGCGGCCCCATGAGGAATCGGGCTCCCTCTTCTCTGGTTCAGGGGTGCGTCACCTGAGAACTGCTGCTGCCAAGTCACCTCAGCTCGGCAGCTCCTGTGTTGAGCGTCTGCCCCCTGGTGGTCAGTGCGCGTCATAGCTACCGGTCGGATGGACACTTATCCTTTTATATATATACTAGAGGCCTGGTGCACAAAATTCGTGCGGGGGGGGGGGGGGGTGGGAGGGGAGATCCCTCAGCCTGGCCTGCACCCTCTATAATCCAGGACCCCTCGGGGGATGTCCCTCTCACAATCTGGGACTGCTGGCTCCTAACCGCTCACCTTCCTGTTGGCCTGATCGCCCCTAACCTCTCTGCCTGCCTGCCCGATCGCTACTAACTGCTCTCCCCTGCTGGCCTGGTCACCCCTAACTGCTCTCCCCTGCTGGCCTGGTTGCCCCTAACTGCTCTCCCCTGCCGGCCTGATCTCCCTAACTGCTCTCCCCTGCTGGCCTGATCACCCCTAACCACCTCTGCCTTGGCCCCCGCCACCGTTGCTTTGTCCAGAAGGATGTCCAGAAGGATGTCCGGAAGATGTCTGGTCTGATTAGCATATTACCCTTTTATTAGTATAGATAGATAGCTTTTTGGGGGTGTGTTCCATTGTTATTTTATTTGGCAAAGTGTGTTCCATTGTCATTTTCTTTGGCTGGCACTGGTGTCTGATTTTTTATTTTCTAGCTCCACAAGGAACTATCAGAAGGATTGCTAACCTTATTCTTAGCTTTGGGTTCTTCTTCAGGCATCAGCAATTGTCTCTAGGGCAAAGCATTCCCAGTTGCCTAACTCACCTCTTCAGGTCTCCTCCTCCTCCTAAATCCTGGCGCCTTCAATATGTCTGACTCCACTGCTTTCTTGGATATCTAATAACTAAGGCCATGGGAAGGTTGGTTTACATTACTGTTACATCATAGTCTGCCATCACTAGAGGCAGAACTCTGAATTCTTGATCTTTTGTTTCTTCTCCATTGTCATTCTTTTAACCCTCTATAAAATGAATCAAACAATTTAACTGTACGTCTTTTAATATTTAGGTTATTTTAATTTTTCTTATTACAAACATTGTTTTAATATCCCAGTGTATCTTTATGTGCATATTCTAGTATTTCTTTAGTTTATTTTTTATATTATTTTTATTGATTTTAGAGAGGAGGGGAGAGGGAGAGAGAGATAGAAACATCAATGATGAGAGAGAATCATTGATCGGCTGCCTCCTGCACACCCCCCACTGGATATCGAGCCCACAGCCCAGGCATGTGCCCTTGACTGGAATTGAACTTGGGACCCTTCAGTACATAGGCTGACGCTCTATCCACTGAGCCAAACTGGCTAAGGCTTTTTTTAGTTTATTTTTAATTTTTCTATTGACATTCTGTATTATATTAGTATTTCTTTTTTTTAAATAGTATTTTTATTGATTTCAGAGAGGAAAAGAGGAGGGAGGGAGGGAGGGAGGGAGGGGGAGAGAGAGAGAGAGAGAGAGAGAGAGAGAGAGAGAGAGGAGAGAGAGAGAAACATCAATGATGAGAGAGGATCATTGATCGGCTACCTCCTATGTGCCCCACACATGCCCACAACCCGGGCATGTGCCCTCACCGGGCATAGGTTGACACTCAACCCCTTAGCCATGCCGGTCGGGCTATATTGGTATTTCTTTAGGCACAGCCTAAAGAACTGAAACATTGCCCAGGCATGTTTTTTTCTGATCTTTAGGTCTTGATTGGATCAGGTGTATTTTCTCTCAGTGTGCTGTATTACAAATAATGTGGCTTTGGTGTCAGGAAATCCTTTATTAATGGTCCAGAATTTAGATTTGGGGATTCTATATTTTTCTTGGATTAAGTAAAAATTAAAAACCTATTAAGACTGACAGGAGATAAAAGCAGTATGTTATTTTTAAATGGATTAAGTTACAGAAAAAGTATAGCCACAGTTGAGTATATTCCATTTTGAAAGAAAAGTAAGATAAAATTACTATTGAAATTGTCTTATTTTTTTATGTAAACTATTTTGACTTAATTTTAAATACACATCATTTAAATTTAAGTATGTGCATGATGTTTAGAATAACATGAAATGGAGAGAACTACTAGAAATTAGGAAGACACATTTGCTGTTCTTTGCTGATCAGTATGGTTAAATCCCTAGAAAGATAATCATTTATACAGCAAGTATGGCAGTCAGATGAATGTTCAAATCCGAAACCTTCTGTAATGTATTATCTAGTAAGTAGAATAGGAAAAGAACCCTATAAACACAATAAAAATACTTAGTAATAACCTAATCAATAGGTTATAATTATAACCTCTGAACATATTTTTAAAGTGTTTGCTGTTGGGCTTTCATTTGGCTGGTTGAACAAAAGAAGACTTTTAAATATGGCACATCTATCTAAATTTATAGCCTAAAGCCAATCCCTTCCCTACTTAACAAAATGATGTAAAGTTCACCAATGAAAATAAATGAGTGAGGATAGCTAAGAAAAAGTTTTTTCCTACCAAATAATAAAATATACTGTAAAATTGCACAGTTTAGTCATTGCTCTAAAGGTAGCACAAAACATGTATCTGTCAGTGGAACCAAAGATAGTCCAGAAATACTGAGAGGAATGGCTTTTCAATAAAAAGCGCAAAGTTAATTGTTTTTTATATGAGGAAGTATATAATATACAATTAAATATCATTGGTCAAGATTAAATCAGCTACTCTTTCATGGCTTTAAATCATTGATCATGTTTCATTTAATATCATGCTCTTACCCACCCATGTGTAGTAGGTGTCTAGAAACATACTTTCTAGTTCTAATTAAGCTATTGAATGTATCTGGATAAGTTATTTTATCTCCCTGGGCTTAACTTTTTCCCTAGTATGACAATGGAACAGAATTAAGAGTATAGATTTCTTAAAAACTGAATCTTTTGTTATGACCACATGTTCCACATTCAAAGAGTAGATTTTACAATCTTTGAAAGTAAGACAGTTCTTGTTTAACATAAAGATATTTCTCCTAAGTGAATGTTCATGTCTCTCATGTAACCAAGTTAATACCTTTTAAAATATTTTCTCTCAAAGGGATTTTTAGCTAATCAGATGAGAGCTGAAAACTTGAAGGATGCATCTGTATTACCTGATTTATGCCTGAGTCATGCAAACCAATTGATGATTATGTTGCAAAATCATAGAAAACTGTTGGATATTAAACAGAAGTGTACCACTGCCAAACAAGAGCTAGCAACTAACCTACATGTCAGATTGAAGTAAGTGATTTTGTTATCTTATTTAGGATGTTTAAAATTGATGTTTAATTTCTCCCAAGTGGTGGAGTGTTTTCTCTTGCCACTAAATTGAAATTAGATTATTTTTATAGTTTGTAAATTTCATTCTATAGGTGGTGTTGCTTTGTAATGCTTCATGCTGATCAAGATGGAGAGAAATTGCAAGCTTTACTTCGCCTCGTAATAGAGCTGTTAGAAAGAGTCAAAATTGTTGAAGCTCTTAGTACAGTTCCTCAGATGTACTGCTTAGCTGTTGTTGAAGTTGTAAGGAGAAAAATGTTCATAAAACACTACAGGGAGGTATGCAAGTTGAATTCTGTTTTAATTGGGTATGAGTCTTAATAAATTTGTGAGTGATATTAACATAAGCTTTCCTCCTTTTAGTGGGCTGGTGCTTTAGTCACAGATGGAAAGCGATTATATGAAGCTGAAAAGTCAAAAAGGGAATCCTTTGGGAAATTATTTAGTAAGTGTTCTTCATTAATAACTTGTTTATTTTTTTTAGTAAAAAATGCTGTTTTTAGTCTATGAACACAGCATTATATAGCATGTATCTGGTTTTTAAAAAATATATATATTTTACTGATTTTTTACAGAGAGGAAGGGAGAGGGATAGAGAGTTAGAAACATCGATCAGCTGCCTCCTGCACATCTCCTACTGGGGATGTGCCCGCAACCAAGGTACATGCCCTTGACCAGAATCGAACCTGGGACCTTTCAGTCTGCAGGCTGACGCTCTATCCACTGAGCTAAACCGGTCAGGGTGCATGTATCTGATTTTAATTAGCATTGAAATCCATAGAAATATTTAAGGACTGTAGAGTTGAATCCATTATTAATTTTAAACTTGAAGTATTGTCAATTTTTTTTTTCCACAAACCAGAGGGGTTTTTTTTATCTCAAAGTTATAACCGTATTAATTTCTTTCTACAGGGAAGTCTTTTTTAAGAAATCGCCTATTTAGAGGATTGGACTCCTGGCCTTCGTCCTTTTGTGTATGTATTTATTTCCTAACTATGACAAAATTTTGTATGTGTTCAAACCTTTATTTCAGAAGTAGTGGTATTTATCAGAATGCTAGTGGCTGGGTGCACAAATTTGTGCACGTTGAAAGGAAATTAATTAGAAGAAATATTTTAATACCGCTATTTGCCCATTCTCTATAATAGAAGTTTCAACCAAATTCACGATCGACAATGACAGATGGAAACACACGCATGCGATTGGCGCCAGCGAGAGCTTTATATGTATCGTGCATGTGCAAGTTAACTTAGCCTTTTATAGATATAGAATAAACTTGCTTAATTAGACCTGCTTTCTGATTTAGCTAAACTTTTTTCAGCCCAGTGAAGTACCCCAACTTCTCTTTCAGATAATTGTTAGCAACAGAGCAGTAAATATAAACAAAAAGCAGATTATTATTATAGATCACGCAGGGAGAACAAAGTGTAAAATATTTAACTGCAGCAGTGTTTGACTATATTCTGCACAGTGAGAAAACCTGAAGTCATCTTCAAGGTCCACCATTTCTTCTTATCAGTTGGGTCAAGTTTCTAAGCTTTCTAAATCTCCGTTTTCCGGCTAATGAAAAGAAAATAGGATCCCACCGAGTCTCCTATCTACCTACTCTAGGATCTAGGACTTCTGTGAGGGTCAAATGAGATGAGGCACAGGAAAATGCTTCACAAACATTTGGTTACAGTGTAAAATGTTTCCACCTGGCTATAAAGCAAGTTGTGTTCCTGGGCTGAAGAAACTCCAAGGAGCTAGTTGCTAGGGAGAGGAAGCCAGGCCTTGCTTCGTGACATCATTACCCGGACAGACACTTAGCATATTAGCCTTTTATATATATACTAGAGGCTTGATGCACGAAGATTCGTGCAAGAATGGACCTTCCTTCTCCTGGCTGTCGGCACTGACTTCGCTCTGGCCGGAGCCGCCTTTCTGCCTTCCCATGCTGCCCAGAGGTCTGGAGCGGCTGGGGCGGTGCGGAACGCCTGCAAACATTCCGCCCTGTCCCCGGGCACTTGGCACCTGTGTATGCAAATTAACCTGCCATCTTTGTTGGGTTAATTTGCATACTTACTCCTGATTGGCTGGTGGGCGTCGCGAAGGTATGGTCAATTTGCATTTTCTCTTTTATTAGTGTAGATATCTATCTATCTTTATATATTTTATCAACATAAAAAAGCTTTTGGCTTTAAAAACACCAATTGCTATAAAGCTTTAAAATATATTTATGGTTTTTTATTTAGAGTCTTCGTAACTCAAGGGGATGTCTTACTACACTGTTAAGATTGATAGGACTAGATTCTCTTAATTGTATTTTGTCTTTCTCTTTCTCCTCTACCTTTTCCTTCATTCTTTCCCTTCTTCCTGCCTTTATTTTTCCTCCTGTCCTCGCCTGTTTTCTTCCTCTCTTTTTCCTCCTGTCCT